TTTGACGTATTTTTGTATTAATTAAATTAACTAATTATTTTTTACATAAAAATATTTTTTCACATTTTATTGCAACGCGATCAATTTTTTTCAAAACTGCTGACTGCTTGATGCTGTAATCATTCTGTGATAATCTTTTTATTATTTTCAATCAAATTCTGATTTATTGTTATCTGACATCAGATCGATAACATTTATAGAAAAATACTGAAATGTATTGCTAGTTATGACATAAAATCTCTAACTTTTATTTCGAAATAATTTATTTTAGCATTTTTTCTTAATTTTTATTATAATTAATCTGTATTGGAAAAGAATAGAAAAATATAATAAAAAGTAATTATAAATAACTTTTTAATAATAAATTTATAAGATTATATTATTTTATTCTAATTGTTATTAAAATAGAAAAAATTTGAATAAAAAAACTTGATACTTTATACGATTAATTTTTTGAAAATATATTCAGTATGATATGATTGGAAAATTAAATTTTCTTAAGCATCAAACTACGCCGTTTGTCTACAAATCGATAAGTTTACAACAGTGCTCGCATAGCTAGAGCTGAATAATATCATTAAATTTAAAAAATGTGTAACTATCACTATATATATATATATATATATATATATATATATATAATAAATTATGTGAAATTAGTACAATAAATATAAATCTGATACTAGCTTGTGAATTATACTACTTTATTAGTATACAATTTAAAGCACACTCTACAATATAAATACATTCGTGAAATAAATTGTTGTTTTAGACTTTGGAAAACATACCAATTTATTCTGATCATAAATAGTCAGATAATTGTATCTCTACTCTCAAGAGACAAGAAATAACTTCAGAGAATTCTTGACAATAGTGCTAGAAGTATCGTATAAAAAAATGAAATAATTAAAACTATTGGAGCAAAAGTCTCAAAGAAAATTTTAAAGTTATCTCAATATTAAATACTTAATTCTCGAAATCTTTATTAACTATATATAAAATTAATTTTCTTAATAATTATATAAAACTGAAAACTTTGTTTTATGCTAATAAGAATTTTATTTTAAAGTTATAAATCAGGTCATATCTCAACATTGCATAATTGATGCTTTTTAAGCTGCCAAAGCATATTAATTTCGAAAGTGTAACATATTATAAGCATATTATTTCGAAATTATATGTTGAGATAATTGAGAGTTGCATTAAAAAAAAGCACAAAAAATAAATTTAAACATATATTGGAAATAAACCACTGCAGATGATGTACACTCTTTTGTGAGACACCCGGTGAATAAAATCGCAACACTCTTCGTCACATAGTCACGCTATGTGATGCATTTTATCCTTCCGAAGTCCACAAAGAAATCGTTACGCTTCACTGTCACGATCTTTCAACGTTATCTCGCCTTCTTGAGAACATTGAAATCACTACGCACGCCTATTGTACAGTTCCACGGGATTGTGTGTGATAATATATTTATTTATCAGTCACGTCGCGACGAATAAATATCTGATATTTGCTAATATATCTATGCAATTGGGAAAAACCTGCAATAAGCGCATCGTACATGATTGACGACAGTGCGACCTGCTGATGTAAAAAATAAATTCGCAAAAATAATCCATGCTGTAACAATAATTGCATAAGATATAAATATTTTACACAAGTTTTATGCGAAAAGAAACGATTTAATTTAACTTATTAATTATCGTATACGTATTGTAAAATGAAAACAAAATAATTCTTTGGGAGATTGAAAAATAAGCCTATTTTATCAATTTTAATTGAAAATTTGATTTAATTTCCAAATAGCAGAGTATTTGTGTGACACTTAAATGAATCTATAAAGTATTTTAAAATCGAAGAATGTCCCAAATCTTACTGAATAATCGAGAAATCGGATTTTCATTGCGAGTGTTTTGTAATAAGTTTATCCTTTCAATTTAAGATCTAGTATATTCCGCGAAATCGTGATCCCCTTTGAAATTAATTGAAAGTTGAATATCCACTCATCAGTTCTGTCATACTTATTTTTAGAAAATAAGTTTGTTTCTAATAAAACATAAAAATTAATACTTTCCTTATTCCGCGTAGCTTTTAGTATCTCAAACTTAGTTACGTCATCTTTTAATTCCTAGTTTGATTTGATTGTGCAACGGAGTCATTTTGATAGCAGTACTGAAACATCTGTTGTGAATTTGCAACGCATATTGTATGTTTCGTTATGATTCTAATTGTAGATGCGCTCATTTTTTATCTTTCTTTTTGTTGCATCTCTTTATTATTATTACATTTTAGAAATACGTTTCCAATTCTTTTCATTTTTAATTTTTTTTTACAATTATAAAATTATACAAGACATTAATAAGAGTATTTATATGTGTACGTATATTTTTTGTATGTATTGATATGTAATTGTTATTTAATTTTTAGAAACTAGTACAATTTTTATATTAACTTTTGAATCACATTTTAGGATTATTAATGCAGCATGTTAATATATATTTTTACATGACACAAATTAAAAAAAAATGTTTTGTATAATATTGCTATTCATTGCATATAACAAAGTCTTTAAATTTAATTTTTAAATCTTTAAATTGCATTATATATATATATATATATATATATATATATATATATATATATATATATATACAGTGATATAAAATGTATCTATAGTGATATAAAAGTATAGTACTTTTCTTTTCAATAAAATTGCTCATGGAAGAGCATTGCTTTTATCGTTGCGTAAAAAAATAGAGAAAAGATATTATGCAATTATTATATATATATATATATATATATATATATATATATATATAATAATAATTGCATAATATCTTTTCTCTATTTTTTAAAAGAAAAGTATTATACTTTTATATCACTAGATACAATCTTATATCACTCGCACAATGCACATTTTATTTATGATTCAAATTAAATATACCTTAGTGGTTCGATGTTTCTCTTGAAGAGAAGATTATCTTGCAAAGTTCATGTCAGTGATAAATCTTCAATTTTACACTTCATAAAATTTAATCATTTTTTGCCTGTCTTGCGTAAAAGTAGAAAGTTTTAAGAATGATAAAATTTATGAATTTTTTACCGAACTCACAATAAATGCTATATAATGCTTTTATATAGTTTTTAAAAAATATATTTTTGAGCAACAATAATAATTGTCTTTAAATATCTAATTGTATTCTTTATTAAAAATAATTGTTGACTTAATCGTTAAAATATTTTATTATATTTAAAAAATCTTTCAATTTAGGTATATCCGGGTATATCATACACTTATTATTATTTAAATAAATCAGATTTTTCACAAAAATATATTAGACAAAAAAGATTTTATATATAATGTATAAATAAAAATAATATACCTAAAAAACAGAACTTGAAATCTTGTTTTCTAATTATTTTGTCTGCATTATCAGCGTTATTTCACTTTCTCTCTCTCTCTCTCTCTATCAACAACTCATTTTTTATTCCGATTACATTAACTAGGACCAATCAAATTCTTTTTATTGCAACTGATGCATGCAACCCATGCAACCGATACACAATAATAATAATAATAATAATACTAAAGTAGGTCATGATATCGAAGAAGTCGATCTGTCGACAGGAATTTGTAACTGGTTGTATAGAATGTGCTATCCCGAAAAACCGGTTATTCCTCTTCTGATTCTATATGCAATCAAATTCTTCATCTCCATAATTCTTCAGCTGAATACTAATTTTTTAAGAATAAACTAATCAAGATTAATAATTGCTTTATCTATTTAACAAATGAAATTAATATAAAATACAGTTTATAGGGATTTTTATAATTAAAATATTATTGAATAAATAAATGTGTATTTTTATTATTTTTTTTAAATATAGTGAGTATTTTAAACAATTTTTCTGAAATTGAAACAACACGCATAAATTCTCGTGTTTCTCATTATAACTTATAACAGTTGACAATAATATAGTTTCAAATTTATCTTTAAATTAAACAAATTGCAACATGTTTTACAATTCGAAACTACAGTTGATGAATTTCACAGTTGAAAGAGCGATCTAATCATGTCAAAATGGAATCGAGGTCCGCCTACTCATTTATATTTTTTCTCTTTCCCGTGAATCACGCGTTGACATCATAGTGCTTATCATCGAATGGCCTATTCTGCAAATTGCTGCTACTGCAGCAAATATGAGCTGTGCAGTTTATTAGCGATTATTGAATGCGTTAAGCGTCACATCAAAAATAATTTATATGTTGCATTATTTCCTAACATCGGACTTTCTATTTATTATCACGAAAAATTACATAGTATGATACTCGGCGTATCGTGCAAGTTTCTCACATATCTTATTTTATTCTTTAAAAACGAGATAAATGTCCGTGGATATATTATAGAGCCAATTGTATATATATCGGCACACGAGTTCCGTGACCCGCGTGCAGAGAAGCACAACATCCATAGTTCATTTTATCACATGAACACACTTCATACTTATCGTCGTCTACCATAAATGCGCAACGCCAATAAACGATTTCTCGATGTATGGTTCCTATTATTAGGTTCTATTATACGTTGTATACTGTAAAAAAATATGTAATATATTACATAAAAATATGTAACACATTACATAAATAATAACTATAAAATTACATATTTTTTTACAGTATAAATATATTATACAAATTTTTTTACAGTTATCTTTTCTTATGCGATATACATGATGCTTCAATAATTTTTCTCAAAAAAAAAAGAATCCAACGAAAAATTCAATGAAAGAATTTATTTACTCTTTCCAAATGCAGAGGAATATATATACAAATAAATATTTCCTGACTAAGCTATTAAGATGTTTTTCTCTCATATTAACGCATACATATGCTAAATAAAGATAATATAAGTCTACAATTCACAAACGTTGTAACTATCTAAACGCGTGCGCACGCAAAATGAATACTAACTTTTTATGTTTCTTATTGCAGAAAACGGTGGCACTTTAAAGATTCTTTTGAGCTTTGCTGTGGGTGCACTGTTGGGCGATGTTTTTTTACATCTTTTGCCGGAAGCATTCGAGAGTGAATTACAAAAGAAAGGTAATTTAGTCTTATATTCTATTATGTAACTACGTAATTAGATAAGTTGGATTAATTTTATCTTATAAAAAAAATTTTTAATATATCACAAAGTCACTTATAATATTATTGATAAGATTGATATCATTATCATAAAAATAAAAAAGGAATGATTACGCAGATAAATATCGCGATACGAAAAATTATAGAACCAAATTTTGGTGTACTATGCAAGAGAGAGACGAATTTTATTGATATAAAATTTCTATTTCTGTGATATTTAATTGGAGTGACTAATAAGTAGAGCAGTATTACGCATCGAAAGCGCGCAGCGTTATCAGGAGGAAATGTTGGTGAAAAAAAGAATCGAGAAAAAAACAACCCAGATTATTCAATGAAGCTTATTGCTTTTATTTTTAGCATTGCGAAATTTAATACACAAGATGCGAATATATATGCATCCGACATTTTCCTATTTTTACGCAACGTGTACTTTTTATCACGTATATGTGCTTTGAATGTACTTTGCAACCTGCACGTTAAATAGAGTACGTCTCTGGTCTTCTCAGGTCGAGAGCTTTATGAACGATTTAAGCGGCGGCTTCGAACTCTATTGTCCATCAGTTGCAGATTTGAATTGCCAGCTGCGTCCATGTAAATTAAATGTCCTTCCAACCGAAGCGCGTTAGGAATTCGAGGTGATCAGTGGACTAGTAATGACCGTGTAAATTGATCGATTTTTGAATTGCGCAAATTTTCTAACTTTTATTTTATATTTGTCGGGCTTATCGGTAGTTTTTTGCAGAAAGGAATTATATAGCGCAGTGAATTATATAATTTAAACGATTTTATATATCAATGAATCATTAAACGAAATATGTATAATTAATGAATCATGAAATGAGATATGTACGTATAATATTAGAGAATATAACTTGCATACAAATATATAAATAATATTACAGATGAGATACATTTTATGAATTGCGACTCATGCTTTATTCTTAAATATTTTATTCTATTTTTCTTAGTCATTTTACTTTTTAGACACCTATAAACTATAAATGTTTTATGTTGACGTTTATTTACAGCTGGAAGTAATCATTCGTCCATGCCTGCGGGCCTGTCAGTGTTGGGCGCCTTTCTGTTCTTCGTTATCGTCGAAAAAATCGTCACCGCTATAAACGAGGAAGCAGCAATCATTCCAGAGCAGCAAACTGATGAAATTTCAACTAAGGATGCAAGTAAAGAAAAAGAGATGGATAATAATAATTGTATCATGCTGAACACAGAGAAAAACGGTATCACAAAAGAATGCTTGAAAAAATCGACCGAGGTAATTTTTTGTTATATTATTTAAAAATAATGTTTTGTATTATCTAAATTCAGTACAATTGTGTCTATAAAATGATTTACTTACGACAGGTACAATCTTTCCTGGAAAAACAATGCGGCAAGAACAGACAAACTCCAAACCATATCAAAGATCTGCGAAAGAATGGCTTTAAAGACCTCGACATTATAAAGTGTACATTAGCAAACGGATGTCCTAATAATGACGGCCCATTGGTTAACGATGCGAAGAATTGTTTGGAGAAACTTGCGAAGAACAACGGTTTTACATCGGCAAACTCCCACACTGACTCTCCGCGTGTAATCCCATCAGGCTATACGCGTTCAATCGTGTGGGCAAAGAAACTTATATCAGACTTATGCCGCAAATTTTTCAATCCTAAGGCCTTCCCTGGATACCTCAATCTTTTAATGAATTTTCTCGACAATTTCACTCACGGTTTATCCGTGGGTGGATCGTTCCTTATTTCCTTTCGCGTAGGTGTCCTCAGCACATTCACCATTTTGGTGCACGAAATACCTCACGAGGTTGGCGATTTTGCTATTTTGTTGCGAAGTGGATTTAGCAGATGGGACGCTGCGCGGGCGCAGTTAATTACGGCCAGTGGTGGAATTGTTGGTGCTTTAGCTGCAGTCTCCTTTTCTAGTTTAGGTAAATTATCACAAAACTTTACAGCGTACAACACATTTGTAATTTAACTTTGACACTTAATAATTAAAATAATTATATCAGTTTGACTATAAATCTTTTTGTCATTATTATGTGCATTAAAATGATAACTTATTTTTATGTAAAGCATCAAACTTTTGAAACAATTTTTGTATGAATAACTAATGATTTTTATGCTAATTAAATTTTTTATTTGGATTAAATAAATTTAGATTATATGTAATGTGTCTAATCTTGCTCTTTTCAGAAGAAAGAACCAGTTGGATATTGCCATTGACTGCAGGAGGGTTTATACATATTGGTCTAGTAACTATCTTGCCCGATTTATTAAAAGAAACGAATACGAAAGAGTCGTTGAAACAATTCGGTGCTCTACTTTTTGGAGTTATTGTTATGGCTGCGTTGATGTTTATTTAAGTGAAATATATATGTATATAGAAATATATATATATATATATATAGAAGTCGAATAATTTCATTAGAGGATTAGTGAAGAGAGAGAAGTTCTATTATATGTTAGTATATGAGTACAATTTTACCGGACTTATATGTTTCGGTGTATATATCATCAGGACAGTACTCCAAAGTTGCCATAAAATTATATAATACATATTGCTCAATGGAGATAGAGTATCCGAGGAAGGAAAACTAGCGACGATAAGCGACTGAACAAACTCATGTATGATAGATAATCAGATTTTGCCTAGTTTATAATATTTTATATCAGAATGTTTTCTCCAACACGATGTATACATACATTGAAATATTTGTTATAATGTCTGAAATTATCGTTAGTTTTCCGCTCTTCTATAATCTTTGAAAATAATGAGATTACACTTACAAAACTTTTTTTTTCATGGTTTACTAAAAACTTTCTTAAATCCAAAGTAACAATGATAGTTGGGACAAACTGCATTCTTACAATTAATAATATAGAAATATAAAGTGTATAATTTGTACATTATTTTATTACAATTAGCTTACTCCAATGTTATCACGTTATTACAAGATATTTCGAGAAACTGTTATGTAAACCTCGCTGTTATAATTTATACATAATGCATCTTCTGTCAAATTAAAATTTACTGATAGAAATGCATGTAAGTACTGGTACCTTCCAACATGCCACAATGTGATTAATTTTTCTGATAACAGAATATTATCAATATAAAAATCAAATCTAAAACCAGTATTGACATATAATAATGTTTTGATTAAATTTGAAGGCTGTATATAATGTTTATGCTATTTCTTTTCTTATAAAAAGATATACGAAAATTGCAATGAAAACTTCCTCAATGATGAAAATCCTCCGTGGACATGTTATATGCGTGCATTTATAGTCCAGATACGAACACGTTAAGAGTATACTAGTGAATGTACATTCAGTTCCTAAAGTTAATTATAAATAATACATAATTAGGTCAGCACCTTTTAAGAAATAGTCGCATAAAGAAGAAGAAAGTATTCCATGTTGTACAGAATTGAAAAATAGAAATTGTGCACATTCTGAATTTAACGAATTAAATTTCGATAAAACGTGAAATAACATTTGCGTACAAATTTTGTAAAAAAGTCCAGATTTAGATAGAGCGATTTTTTGAGCATGTTTGATAAAACTTCGTATAGAAATAGATTTGGAATAGACATAATATCTAATGAGTAAAGTGAATTGATCATATAAAATTATGTTCCTTTCATCTGCACAATCTTATTATTATATAATTATATAGTTATGAATATTTTGGTGTTAAATATTCATAAAGTATATATCATATATTTTGATGCAATTATTCGTAAATAAAAAATTTGAAACCTCTAATATATATTCTATAGCACATATTTATCGCTATGATTATGAAAAATTATATTTTCTTTAAATAGAAACATGAATAATGAGTATATTTATGAAAGATACTAATATGTATCTTCTTCAGAGCTTCACACCTTGTTATATATTCAGATAATTCCAAAAAATTAGATAATATATGCATATAATAAATATTTATAGAAAATACAAACTTTGTTATACTTCTAGTTTGTAAAGATGAAATGGAACATTAAGAAAAAAAATTCGACTTGTAATTTTCTCTTGATAGCCTCATGTATCATGCACAATATTCATATTTTATGAGGCACAAGATAACGCAATCCTTGTACTTAACCAATAAAAGCAAGGTATTATACAATATTTAAATGCATGATACACGAGCGCTTTTTTCTGCACCTGTAAATAGATACTCCCTTGCTCGGAAAAGAAACTGGTTAAACATCTTTTACAAAAATATTTTATATGAATTACAATTATATGTAAGTAAAAGAATTAATCATATGTAATCTCTAATTTGCTGATTTGTAAATAAAATGTACTATTCTGCGAAGTTCACATTTTATTTCTTTTTCGTTAAATATCTACTATATGGGAATTATTTCGGACGAATAAGTCGACGAATACAATGTATTTATTGGTACAAAATAATTTATTAAATAATTATTCTAAAACAAAACAACAATTGTACATACTTGCATAAACAATTGCACTTATTAGCTGACAGTAAATAACTGAAGCCTTACATATTAAATATGTACATATATTTCAGTCATTTTAAACATCTCTTAGTTGTGAAGAAATGTGAATTATACATATGGAATATTGATTGAGCTCTATAAGTGATAAAATCAAGTTCCCGTCTCCTGTATACTTAACACATTCGAGTGTTTAACTATTTAATAGGCCAATAAAAAGAAAATTCGCCTATATAATAATAATCGATTATAACAATAGAAATCACTAACGATTATAACACATTCAAACACTGGATAAAAAAATTTAATTGATATGTAATGACTAGTATTTTATACCTCAGATGCAAGAGACGAGAATCTGTACACTCCCATTGATCAATCATGCAAGTATGATAAATTATTATAATGAAGACAATATGATGTCACATTTAGAATAATAAAATATTTTTTATGATTATAAATTTTTCTTAAGATCTATAAAAATTATAGCTAATCGTGTATTTCCGTACATAACTTTTTCTTTTTCAAAACTATTACAATGATGATTAATCTTTCCGCTTTTTTACAATTTTTTTTACTCTAAACAAATGTGAATTAAGCAAGCTCTATGCTGTTACAAACGATTACTATTGTACATACATGATTGCACTCTTACATCTGTTCCTATAAGATTTGAATTCAATTTGTAGTCTTTAATTCTTTCAATTAAATGCTGATTAAAAAATATTCACAGTTCATCATGAGGTGCTTCAAAAATAGTAACTTTTAATCTTTCAATCATTAATATCAAACTCTTTAAAACATCAATTTCATCCATAGTGAGTTTAAGATTATTCAAATTTTGATAAAAGTATAAGAGATTATCTATAACAGGTAAAAGTGAAAGCTTAATATTCTTAAATTCAGTTCTACAAACAGGAGATATTGTGATCATGCTGTCTGAAACTACTTCGAGAAAATCATTATTTTCTATGCTGAATTGGCTAGTTAGCTTTTCTTTGAAGCACTTGATCATTAAGTTGCTTAGTAACTTACAGTAATCGTGTCTCAATAATCTTTGCTCGAAATCTGTAATGGCATACTCCCTCATTTTTTGCTGACGTTGTTCGATATCATAAATTTCTTGTAAGTTTTGTCTTTCGATTATTAAATCACTAATTAGTTTTATTGCTTTCATTTGTATCTGTAATTGATCATCGTCTAGAATCTTCCCAAATAGTTGCAAACCACCATGATCAATCCAAGCTTTCTGAGCAGCAGGGAACTGGCGTATTAAGGCACTTAGAGCATAGAGACATCTGGATTTTACTTCAATTTTATTATTTGTAGATAAAACGTGTAGTAATTTTTGAATAAAATCATTTTCCAATGCCTTAGCTTGCACTTTTGGGTTTGATTGTGCAGCTGCTCCCAAAAGGCGTAATGCTTCCAATTTTATTTCATTATTGGTTCCATTGAGGCATGGTGATATGATCTTAGTTAGTCTGTAAAAAAAAGAATAGAAATATTCATTAATTTCTTCTGTAAAACAAAAAAGATTTTATTTTTGTGTACTTACCCATCCATGTCTGAGAATATTTTAGCATTATCAATTTGATGAAGGAGATATTCTAAATTGTTCAAAATATCCAGAACTTCTTCAATCTCTATACTGGTTAATGTTCCTGTAGTGATACTACTTTTATACGATTGAAATTTCTGGAAAAACCTCTTTAATAATTCCGAATCACTTGTGACATTAAGTTTGAGAGCATTAAGTTCCTCTTTCAAGGTTTCATAGAAACGTTTGAAATGCTTCTCACTTTTTGCCGAGTTTCTCCATCCTAGAATAAAAAAGAAAAAGTTACAGATGTCAATAAATTTAGAAAATTTGTTAATTTAAAATAATAATAAAAGCAACTATACAATTAATAAAATGAGATTAAGTAATGATGTAAATATTAAAGAAATACTGAATAAACAAAATTATAAACAATGTTATGTATTCATGCAAGAGAGATAGATTTATAATATTTTTAAAGAAAGATAAATCAATTACAAGTTTGATTATTAAATATTGAGTATAATAATAAAGAAATAGTTAATTTACATTTGAAACATCTTCTGCTTCTTCTTGTTTAAGTTTTTTTAATCTTGCTTTTAATTCATCAATAGGAAATTTTAACGATTCAGGATCTTTCTTTATTTTCACAGGATCCACTTTTTCATTTTCTAGCACTGACTTATCAGGATGTAATGTCAGTGACTTAGAATTTGATCGGTTCGCATTTTCATCATCTTCTTTTACTTCCTCCGCATCATCCATTAATTTAGCCTCTGTTACTCCAGTTGCAAAATTATGTCTTACATGAAGTCCTTTAGGGATAGGAGTTCCTGCATATGTATAAAAAAATTAATCTTTATTACACTTTATTAATCACTTTCATTAATCAGTATTTACATTTATTTATGATATTAAATATTTTGAAAAGCTATTATCTACAGAATTTTCATATTACATTGCAATTATATGACAAAATTAGTTTTATTCATAAAGATATAAATCATCTAAATATTTGTCTATAAAATTGCATGAAAATGACTAAAAAGCATTTTATTAATACAAAACGATTTAAATATCATGAGGTTCTTTATATTTGCACCACGTAATCGAATCCGAATATACGTCACTGAAAACACTTGACCTGCGTTCGAAAATCCGCCTCGCGATTTAAAGTAACGTTTAATTGACCAATAAGGACAAAGAAATCTTCGATTCCGATTGGTCAATTGAATTCTGCTCTATTTCACAAATAGAATTTTCGAACGCACCCTCGATCCGCAACCACCGAGCATTTGCACTATTTAATAGAAATTCCAAATAAGAACCTAAATAATTTCCAAAAATCCCACGCACAACATATTTTATTCCTTCGAAATTGTGTGTAATCCGGAAGTCCCATTTTCGCGGATTACCGCGAAGAAATGACACGACGAATTTGACTGACGTGGTGTTGGAGGAGACTGACGTAAAGTAGTCCCACATTGCACGTCGCATTTGATCCGGGAAAAACTCACCCTTCTTCACCGTCTGCCACTCGTGGGTCGCTACGAAGGCGCTCTCGTTTTTTTCGGCAGCACCGAAAATCGCGAGCGTCAGATAAATCAGCAGGACGTACGTGTCGGCACGCATCCTTCCGTCAGGCTGTCGCACGTATCGTAGCGTAGGACGTGTACGATTATTTTTCCTCCGATTAGTCCGCGCGGGCGAATCCTCACAGAAGCGCACGTGGCCCGCGACCTGTCATCGGCCGACGAATGATACGCAAAACGTCAAATTCTCGGGACGCTGCTCCGCGACATTTATCACGGGACTCGAGTCTCGTTATTCACGTGTTGCGTCCGTTATTTATTACGTCAAAATGTGGACCAATGTGCCGACAGTAGTTACATGCGTTCGCCACCAGAGCCGACACGAGCCAATAAACGATGGCGACAATGCTGTCACATCTGTCATTCGAAAATTCCCGATATTCGTATATAACCGCGAGATATTTTTATTATCAATTAATTGTGTAATTATACTGTATGATTCATGATTCTCATATATTTTAGAAATTGTTCGCTCAGTTTTATGTATATAAAATTTTCTCTTTATCATATAATGTTATATTTTATTTAATAGTTAAATAATGCTATAAGTATTTTATTTAATATTTTTAACCTAATTTAATTTAATTAAATTTTTAATATAATAATATATCATGCAAATACACGTACAAGTATTTTATTTCTTTCTACAAACTATATACAACTAATGCAAAGAAATTTATTATTTTTATTATATATTTATAATTTATATAATCGTTTCTCGCAAGTATAAAACTATGCGAAGCAAGGAGATATGATTTTTGAGGAGAAAAGATGCTCGCATATATTCGACATCGTTCTAGGGATTTTGAAAACCGCGTCGGGCCTGAGGCGCACGTCGCGCTCGGCCAATGAGCGCGCGGAACGTTCAGCCAATCAGCGCGCGGGACGTAGTCTGGGCGCGCAACGCAAGGTCGAGTACGCGAAACTCATTTACTACGCGCTGATCCGTCGACCGGCACGTGCGGCGACCTTTCCTTTCCCTCGCGCAGTAACACAGTGACCGTTGCGCACACGCGGCGTCGCTCTCTCTTTCTATCAGCATCTCTCCATCCATTATATCGTGTACGGCACGCATACGTCCTCTCGATCGCACATCACGCCGACGAGAATCCGTTAATATCAAGACCGATCGCCATGGCGGAGGAGTATCTTTACGGTAAATATGATCAACCGCGGTGCCACGATCACCGTCCTCCCGTTATTTAGCGTCTCACGCGGATACTTACGTATCGTCGGCCATTCGAGAGCGAGGGGGAGACGCCGGCTGGCCATTCGGCCATTGATTCCACCGACCGACCCCCATTATATGTTGCCTCTTCTCGAACAAAGCCGGCGAGAATTATAATGCGTCGTATCGGCGATCGACGACCCGGTCGTTTCCCCGCCGCGTCATGTGTATACGGCTGTGATTTGTGTGTCCAGGAATCACCCTCACGGGAGCGGACGCGGAAGAGACATGGGACCCGGAACACAAGAACGACGACTCGGACACGGCCCAGCATATTGGCGCCGATCAGAAGCTCATCATAAAGATGGTAAGTGCGACGTATACGTCGTCTCGACGTGGGTGACGACGAGAGAAGAGATCGTCGCCGTCACCCGGGTAGCCAGCCACCACCCTAAGTCGTCGTCGAGGTAGGAGACCCTTCCGGGTTTCTTGTCACGAGATGAACGTGCGTTTATCGAATTACATCGATCACGACGATTACCAGTATTCGATGTGTTGTATGGATGTATGCATGTGTGCTTGTGAAGCGTCCGTTTAATCGCACTTGGAGGCGAAATTTTAATCGTCGCATCATTCGGAGTATTTTTTCTTTTTTTTTGTAGCTTCGTCATCGCTCGGAAATTTGCGCGCGAAACTTCGATCGCTATCTTGCTCCCCGAATCGTCTCTCCAACTGAAAATTTTTTTCTACAGAGGTCAAACCACGACGAAACAGTCGTGATGTATTTCAAGTTCCGTTTTTTTGCCCTTTGATTCGACATTCGTTTAACGTTGCTTATTTTTAGCTCGTGCGTCCTTCGAAATTAAATGCAGGCATTTTTTTGGTCTATTCAATGACGTCTTTCCGTTCAATGGCCGTTTGTGAATGCAGTCGTCTATGCGTGAATCGACTAATTTCGGGTGTCTTTCGTGAAAGTTTGATGCTTGGCGCCATTTTTTAATAACGGCTTCGCCCTTCCCCCACTTTACCCCGGATAGAACTCTATTATATCGAAATGAAAATTTTTTTACGTATAGGTGAATTTGATGAGAATACAAATATGATTTAATTTATAATTTAATCGATCTGCGGATTAAATTTTAGAATTTCGTAACACGCCGGTTGCCGCGTGACTTTTACAAAGTAAATAATAAATATTGAAAAACTGATTGTTAACGAGTAATTTTATAGGAATTATATACTATTCTCATTTATATATAATTATTTAACATGTAATTAATTATCAATAAGTAAAATACACAGTATAGAACATTTTTTATTCACTTTTTCAGCATTTCTTGTTATTATTAAACATTCAACTCATTGTCAGTCAACTTCATGGAAATTTAAATTCGTCCTTCCTTTGTTTATTTTCCGATTTATATGAAGGACAACTATTTGTACACAATTATTTTTTTCGGAATCAAATTATTTCCTAACCTAAAAAAGGTTCTCTGAATTAATTGTTCAAAGGAAATTTTTGAAATACAACAAATAAAGATATTTAAAAAAAAAATAAGATATATTTAATAGATAGCAATTACAATAAATTCTCCAATTTATAATTTTTTTATTTGTGTTTATTTAAAGTTCTATCAATAACTTTTGTCACATTAGAATTTTAAATCTCATGGATAATAAATGGACAATTAATTTGTTCAAAATATTTGATTCATTGAACATGTCATTGAATATTATTGTATATATGTACATAATTTTATTCACATAATTACATACTATTATAAATTTTACAGGCTTTGCTGGGACCAGAAGCCAAACCTGGCGAACTCAATGTGCTGCAGGTAGAAGCAATGGGTTTGAAAGGACCCATCAAAACGCCAATTGCCTTGTTGGAAATGGGCAAAACGGTGCAGATTATTCTTGATCTCAGTTTCCCAGATCCTCCTGTTACATTTAAATTGGTTAAAGGCAGTGGACCGGTTCACATAGTAGGACATAATCTCCTTGGTAAGTATATACAAATATCTCTACATAAATATGTTTATGATTTAGTGAATTTAAAACTAAAGAAGTCTTGTTATTAAATTGTGGCAACTTTATTGTGTTTCATTATATACTTATATAATTTATGTACATAGCTTTATATTGCACACAGTTCAAAACAAAATATTATATGATATGCATCTTTGAGCAATTTTATTTAAAAATTGTACATTTTGTTTTGTTTATACTTGTAACACAAAAAAAAAGTTAAATAAAGGCGATATAAATAATTGGACGCCTTTCTCAAACAACATATTTCCAAAAAACATTACAAAAAATAAGCATGTAAGATAGAAAAAAAAGAAGAATAAATATTTTAATGTTAGTTATTTTGTAACAAAATTTTATGTGTACAATTTATATTTATTGCTTTTTATTGATACATGTACAAGTTAATATTTATTTCAGCTTTATAAATATATATACAACAATTTATTACACGCACACATATATATATATATACACACACAACATTTTTAAAGAAATTAAATCTGAAATAGTTTTATTTATTAAACACATCTATTTATATACATATCAGAATAGAAACATTTTAAATTCGAAAGTGATGATTGAACATAATTAGATCTAATGTAATGATAAAATTTTAATGTCATACAACTTTAATTATTATAAAACATTCCAGTGAATCATGAAATAGTTTTGATTATATAGAATATTTATAAAATATTTATTATTTATTCTAAACACATTTCAAATAGTAACAATTAAAATGAAAGAAATAATATTTTTTAATATTAATATTTATTTATAATTAAAATAGAGCATTATGTACATTAATTTAATCCTTTCCAGACAGTTCTACCTTTTCATTTTTTTTATTAGTCTTACATTATCATTTCAGGTGCGCATATTGAAGAGTTTGACGATATAGATGATGAGATGGAAGAAGAAAACATCGATGACGAGGATGACGAGAAGGTATGTATATGTTGTATGCAAATTATTAAATTTTACGTACATATATATTATAATAAAAAGTATCGAGAGAATATAAATATGTATTCTAGGTAACAAAAAATTTACTGTAATAAATGTAATAATTTTATTGTAATAAATTTAGCCAAAATGCATGTGCATGTAAATAATATTACATAAAAAAATTATGGGTGAGGCATGTAGATATTACAATAAATTCATTAATAACAGGAATTTATATAGGATGCATCTTTAAAAAAGTGACAAATATTTTAAATGCTCCAAGATGCGATTTAAATACACATATCATAGTGTTAAATTATAATTTATTATAGAGAATTTAATAATGCATCTTGCGATATATCTTTAGGTTATATATTGCTAAAAATTAATAGCAATATATCAAATTATATATATTAGAAATATCAATTTCAGGCACCGCAAAAGAAACGAAAGCTTTTAGCAGAGGATAAAAAAAACGGAATTAAACGGATGAAGATATAAACAAATAGAACGTTAAGATAATGAAAAAATATAACCAGTGCTATATAATTAATGTCTTCTAACAAATACGACATCATTGCACTAAAAATATTTTGAATTTTACTTGACTTTAATCATATTTTTAAGATATCTATGAGGAATTACAATTTAAAAAATGGAAAAAGTGGAGGCGCTCCACTTAAAAATAGTCATGAATGTACTTTTTATCTATTATATCTGTGTTCTCATTCCATGTTTGTTTTATTTTTGTAAAATAAATAATATTTTGCAAAGAGTTGCTTTTATTCTTTACTAATCACGCTTCCTTTTTTCCACTTTTGCAAAGTGATGCATTTGAATTGTAATTTCTATTTGAAAATCAAAAATTATTACAAATTAACATATACATTAATTAAATAATAAAACAAAAGTATTTTGGAAAAACTGAAATTAATAATATTATTAGAATGAAATATTTGGACCTTGATTATAAAACGCGATAAAATTTTATGTAAATTTTTGGGAAACTTGCTAAACAAAAAAAAATGCATGAATATATAATAGGGAAGCCTCCCCATATTTCAAGATTTTAATCAATTGTTTTGTAATATCAAATTTTTGAATATTAAATATAAAATTTTATCAAAATAAGATTTTGTATGCCTATACAATTCATTGCATGATTGCATTTTATATTTTTTGTAGGATCCTGAAGACGAAGATGACGAAGATGACGAACCTAAGAGGAAGAATGCCAAATTAGCAACTGCAGCTAAATACAAAAATCAAGCCAACAAAAATAAGAAAAAATAAGCACAAGCCTTAACATTATGGAAATAAAACTCTTAAGTTAGGATATTAAACATAAGTCCATCAGTAATATCATCCGCGTTTGTGCGACTCTAGTATCATTTCATCAGATTATAATATGACAAGTGTTGCCTTCCATCTTTCTAAAACACAACTGGACCAACAAAATATAAAAATAAAGTAACTATGGTATGTATAATTTTAAAGTGATTGTATTACATTTTTCTAATTATAAAAAGGATATTTCAGAAAGTGTTTGCATCTATTGAGCAAAGATAGATTGATTGAAAATATTTTTCTAATCTTTTTATATTTCTATGAAGCTTATGATGATTAATCTTTCAAGTAAGTCGGATATCTTCTATCCTTGCGATTGAAGTAAAACTTTAGGAAGACATATTAGGGATATCTCAGAATTATTTAAAATTAGTTAAATTGCTGTAAAATACTCAAGAGCACCGAAATTATTGGAGACTTAGATCTGGGATTTTACAGCAAATCTGACTAAATCAAATTAGAAATATTTTTATCTGATCAAATAAGAAATATTTTTATCGAATTAAATAAGAAATATTTTTATCTGATCAAATAAAAAATATTATCTTTTATTAAATCTGACTAACTAAATTATCTGGAGGCATACCTAAATCATTTTCCGAAATCTCATTTCAATCGCGAAATAATCGGCTTATTTGTCAATTTATACATTATTTACTATTAAACATGCATTCCTGCATATTTTTACAGAATGAATATATTTAGAGCTTCATATTTAAAGAGAAGAATGTATTTATGAGACAAAATTTTTATAAGATAATTTATCTGTTCACAAAAAGTATCCCTTATTTATACATTTAAAATTGTACGTTGAAATTTATTTTTTGATATTTGAAAATTTTATATAATTGATGGTATAGAGGGAACTAAGAATAAAATATCATGGGTTTTTTCTTATTACTAGACAGATTGAGTTTATTTAAATAAATTAATCTGATAATTTTATAATAAAGCAATGTTTGAATGATTATTGGCCCAGTTGTTGTTATTGTAAAATTTATGGAAAGCACAAGCAAATTTGCAGCAAAGTATTTTGTATATTCTGTTTATTTTTGTTTTGTTTTGAGATTACATTCATATCGATACACTTCCAGAGATACGAAAAATATATTGTTCTAACATATTAAATTAAACATAATTATTGTCTTATATTAAATAATTCCTAAAAAAATAAGGCTCCAATATAATTTATCATTTTCGTGTGTACAAGATGGGAAAAAATTATTAATCACATTTCTACAAAATTTTACTTGTATCTCTAAAGATATCAGACTGGAAAAAAAGGAAACATACATATGTCATTTCAACATTCATTCCATTTGATAAAAGATAATAGAAATGGGGGTTACAGGTGTACTAGGTAAAAAGAGATGCTCTTACAGCCAGTGTCATGCGATTAAAGCATATGTGATGCGTGTGTAAAACACGTATGTGCGACAAGTAGTATGTGTGTACACCTATTTTGTACATATACGATACAATAAAAAATTTCACAACTTTTAAAATCCGTATGCTTGGGTGAAACATGTTCATTTGAGCATAACCTGTTCTGTAGAGAGCTACAATTTTCAATGCGAATTCTGTATATTATATATATCATAATTATTACGAAAAAGAATTATTATTCATTTCTGAAAGTATAAAGTATGTTACATGTAAAAAAAATTATTCCTTCAGAGACTGACGAAACACGATATTCATGATTGCATTCAAGATTCGTTGACATTTTTAACGTTTTTTATTTGTCTTTAATTTGATCTAATGTCTAATGTCTCTCATGTATCTGACAAGTAACTTTTGCATATAAACACTTTCTAGAGAATTAATATATGTATGTACAACATGTCAGTTTTTTTACTCATAGCTTACATAAGGAAGAATACATAAAGGAAAAACATTTTTTTAATACATATCGAGTTTTAAATAGATTTATACACAAAAGCAGTCAAAAAGTATAACTCTTGGATATTTAACAAAAGTGTGTTTAATGAGGTGTGATGTGATATAATCAATGAAATATATAACAGCAAATAAAAAATTATCAACTAGACATGTTACAGATTGACTTTTGGAATTAAATATTGCGATATGCAGAATGTTAACTTGAATAAATGTTCTACTAATATCACAAAGAACAGAGTCTCTCAGAACATTGCAGAATGTGACATAATTGATGATGAAGTAGTAACTTTACAGCAACAAGTATGTTAGTATTTTATATGACTACAAATAAATAATTAATGATTTATATATCAAAGCCCATATTTATACATAGATGAAGCATTTATATAAGTAAGATTGATACATTGTATATTTCAAACATTTGCATATAATGAGTATATAATTTTTCATATCATTAATGATGTAACAATATTGTCAATAATATATATTATAATTCTCTTAATCTTATTTGCATCAAGATAATAGAATTGAATAAAGTTATTGTAAATTTGGAAGATGCTATACAAATAAAAGATACACAATTAGAAAACACACATCGAGAGAAAGGGAGACTATTGACAGAGCTAAAGAAACAACAAAGATGTAACAGAAATCTTAAACGTAAGACTTGATTATAAATATTTTGCTAAATAAATATGCATATTAAGTTGGGGCGCTGTTAGTATAATTTTTTATTAAATTATTTACTATAATAATAATTTATTAATATAAATAAAATATTTTTGCATATCTTCATCCAGGTTTACACACAACTTGGTTATTTGTCAGGAATAACTCTAGAAACTATTAATTCAATGAATATATTGTTTTAAGTTTATTATTTTTATTGTAGAACAGTTAGATGATGAGAAATATTTTTATCAGAGGGAAAAAGAACACTTCATCGAAGAAATGCAACGATACAGAACTAAATACACTGGTAACGTGTCAAAGTTTCAGCAGCAACGACATAAAGAATTAGAAGAAGCACAAGATATTTTAGAAACAGAAAATAAACGACTTAGAGAAGAATTGGCAGATAAAAACAAAGTTACATATAATATATGTATAAAGTTTCTTCGCATGAAACATTCCAAGGACACATTAAGATATAAATTGGATCAGCTGTTGCACGAGCATCTGTTAGTAATAGCTGAAATGATGGAAAAGTTAGATGAGGCAAGAAAGGAGCTTAACTTAATTGTATCAGAGAAATTTCAAGAACCATTGCCCCTTAATAAAGCTAAATTTTTACAAGTAAATAATGATAAATAATATGTATTGTTTTATTCAACTCAATAACTTTTGAGTTAAATCAAACTGCTTATATTAAATATTTTTGAATCGTAGGTTGTACAAAGAAATAACAGATTGATGTATGAAAATGCAACATTAAAGGTACAAGCTCATCAACTTACACAGAATATAGAAAAGTTAAAAAGTCAAATGCAAAAACCGAAAAAGATTAACATAGATGCTAAAATTATTGAGAAATTATCATCGCAAAGTAGTACAAGGTCAGAAAACTATGAAAATATATGTATATATACAAAAATATATTTAATTTTATTATAACATTAACATATATTGTATGCAAAAATATTATCACATACATACGTATATACAATGTTAGATCATACTTAAATTTAATAATTTAATTTATATTGATAAATATGTGTATAATATAATTATTTACATATTTTTTCTAATATATTTTTCTTATGTTCTAGCTCAACTCTCATCAACAAAACGGAGAAAATCGCTTTGCTCTCTAAATTATATCAATCTGTTGATGATTTTGGAGATGTAAAGGTAATCTCATGCAATTAAATAAAGAATAAAAAAATAAATAGAAATAAATATGACAAATTCTAAAAATTTTCAGACTGAATGTGTTCAAAGTGCACCGGGAATTATGGAAACAATTCCTCAACAGAATAGATAGCTCTACAAATTAAACAATGTATTGAATCACATTATTCGTTTCGGATATCTTCATTAATCAGACAAAAGTGACAGGAGTCAGCTAGAGATGAAGATAAAATTGTCCCTACTTGTCATTAATTTATTACTCAGCCGTCGATATAAAAAATCTCTTTTTTATCGACTCATATAACCAAGATAATAAGTTCTTTTTTACCGACTTGAATTTTATCGCTTGAGAAATACAGAGGGCGATACAGTCACCCTCTTTGATTTGAAAATCACTTGCTTCCCGCTTTCCTTGTGCAACACACATGTCGGATCATCGCTCTCATCTTTTTGCATCGCAGGAGTCTCAACATGCATATTTTCCGTCGTCTTATTTTCTCAACAAGGTCAGTAAATTGAATCAAAGGTCAGTGAATTGAATTTCTATTTCTATCTTCAATTTTGTGGCCATTAAAAATTCTGAAAGATATATATACATATATGTGTGTGTATATATATACACATATATATATCGTTGCGTTCTTCCATCTACACGAAATGTATGATATTATTCATGTTTTCTGTTCATATTAATGCAATTTAAAAGCGATTATACGGAAAAAGAGAACATAGAAGAAAGCGATTGATGGCCAATACTATTTCGTATAAGCCGATTTGCCTTTCTCTCTCCTCTTCTCCGATAGAGGATATATCGACAAAATGCAGAAGGGACGTCAATCGGACGATAAATTCGTGGGCGTTGAACTATATCCTATATCAGATCGCGACGACGCGATTACAGCGAAAAAAGGACAGGATGTTCAATGACGCATATAGATTTTTGGTGCTTCGAATTATTTTATGCACAAACCGTTCTTTCGCGGACAAACATAGTTATCGTATACATAGAAACATAATTTCTATTTTATCCTTCAACAAATTATTTTTATTTAAATTTTTCTATACACTTTCTATACGTTTTTAGGAACAAAAAATTTGTTAACTTGACTAAACCTTTCAACTTTAAATTACTATTTTGTTAATTAAACATATATATAACAGTATGTAAGTCAAATATACGTTTTGTTGCATTTAATAAGTTATATTTAATTTAAATAGTTTTATATGTTCAATTAGCAAAATAATATTTAATTATTTATTTATTATATTAGTTGAAAGGTTATTTAATCAAGTTAGCACATTTTTTTCAGAACGAAAATTAAATTATTTAATTTATTCCCGAAGAGTTTCGACGTTAATTCTATTATTATAATAATATATTTATATATATATAATAATTCGCGTGTAATCGTTAATTATCACAGCTCGAAGTCGCAAAAATACATTTGAAATATACATTTCATCCTCGCGTCATATCGAAAAAATCGTCGAAAGTGGCAAAAGGCATTTATAGCGTCGCCCACGCTGTCGTAATCGAGTAAACGCAACGTTGTTTACCTCGTCGCTCTACGACAGAAAGAAATGCGGATCAGCGGGTGGTTAAGTGCTACCAGGGAAACCTTTAGGACAGTTTAACGCCTCGCTCGCGGACTCCGGTCGTTTCCGAGTCCCGGCCATTAAGTCCGGTTCGAACTCGAACACCCATTGACTTCCGCGACGACGTCAAACGGAGGTTTATATTTTCGCGACCTCCGGAACGCGATCGGCGCGCTCTTATGAATAAAAATGAAATGATGAAAGTCTTATAAAAGTCACGTAATTTATATGTCATAAAAATCGCTAAATATTTATAATAATGAAACGCATCGATTTCGCGCGCGAAATCGGAAACTATACATCCCCGCAAAATTCGACCTCGATATTCTCGTCACATACCTGGCCGCTAAATGCGCCGGTCGTCCGATATCGAGTTTTATTTGTCGCGTGTGAATATGCCCCTCACGATGCTAAATATGCACCATAGAGAATAATGACCTCTGCTGGCTTAACCTTTCTCATGTGTGGAGGTGAAAATATATAATTATCAGGAACAATTCCATTCTGATACTATCGCAAATTAGCGCGAGTGAGTCAGATAAATGACTTCTTGTTTTCTTAAATATATCTAGAGAGAAAAATTATCCATTTTATATTTAAATTTAATATGTTTGGTAGATGTATTTTAAGTATCCAACTTACGTATATGTGCGATCATTCTTAATTATAAATCTTATAAAGAGATATTATGTATATTTTTAAAAATATCTAAATATAATCTTATATCTCAGAAAAAGAGATATTCCTTTGTCTTATTTATTGCAAAAATTATTTCAAGTCTAAATTAATAATATTATTAATAATAAGAATAAAAGTAAATGCGTATTCTTATCTTTTCTATTTTCTTCGGACTAAATATTTTACGTAAATAAAAATTCATGCAAAATTGCAATTAAATAATTTGCCTTTATATTATTAAATTATTAAAAGAATTTGTTAAAAGAGAAAAAGAGCTAGAATTTTTTCTTTTAATATTATGTACGAATTCTTGTCATAATCATACAAAATTAGGAATATTTTCTTCTACATCATTGAAATAAATATTCGTTTATATATGTCGATTTCAACGAGGAATTTAAGAAATAATATAAAACTGTATAAATATTTATTTTCTTAAGACTTGGATACGTGCGAATAAAATCATAGAGATTCTTATGCACAATTATAATAAATTTGTTTTTGGATAAGCAAGTGTTTTGGAGAACTTTTTATCTTTTGATTTCTATAAATTAATTCGATCGAGTAAACACACACAATGTAATAACTATGTTGACTTACGCGATATATAACAATACTTCACCCTGAGACTGATCGTAAAAGGTCACACATCTTGAAATTTTTACTGAAGATTTTATTGAAAAATAACTTATAAGGTTCTGTGTAACAATCTAGAATTATAGGGAAAACCGAAGAAGTATAAAAAAATGAATAAAAAATATTATAGTCATTTTCTTTCTATGTGAAATTATTGATTAATTAAATTAACTTTATTACATTTATATATATATATATATATATATATATATATATATATAAATGTAATAAAGTTAATTTAATTAATCAATAATTTCACATAGAGAGAAAATGACTAGAATATTTTTTATTATTATAATTTAAATTCTTTTTATAATCAAATTAATTTTGCGTATTTTTTTAAATTAAATATATTAAGATGCATTTAATAATCAGAATGGTATTGCAACTATTAGAACGCGATTACACTATAACGTGCAATAGAGATAAAATTATTTAAAGTTACAAATTACGAGATGACAATTTGATGCTTTCATTTCGACACAATAGTTTATTGCTTACGCAATGAGCAACGATCTCAAAGCCAAAATCGTATCGCCTACACACAGGAGTGAGTTAAACAGATTTAATCCCATAATTAGCTAATTAATCGTGCGGCCGCTAATTACGTAATGCGCCATTTAATATTTATAGCTAGATAGTAGCTATATTGTTATAATGTATAAAAAATGATATAATTTCGACAAAGATGTCGTTTCTTAGGATTCGACATGTAACGTAAAAAAATTTGTTAACTATATATAATTCTTTCAAAAGGATTAAAGAAAAACGAAGTGTTTTAACAATTAACGACAATATTTTATTTTAACGTATAGCATTTCTAAGAATGTTCGAACGCCAACGACCGTTTATCATGTGGAAGACAGTGAAACGAAAGTTATTAGTCGTTAATTATCGGCCTTACGTGACACCAGCAGTTTTAATTAAATCGATTTTTTTCATCGTTCTTTCGAAACACCTGTCGCATCCGCGATTTTTCAACAGTGATGACTTTTGTAACAGAATGCTATTTAACGGGACAATTATACATTGTGTGGGCTTTGAAAACATTACCCAGTAGTCGCACACACATGTATACACACATAAATAATACAAAATAATGAGGAAAAATGTTCAAATATTTAATTTATAATACTTTTGTAATTTTAAAATTAACGTGGCAATTTTTTGTTTTTATTATGAAGACAGTTACACCGAAAATAAAATGTAGTATAGATACATTATTCAAACTTAATAATAATTTAAAATTATTTGAAGAATAAATACATGTTTTCAAATACAATTTTTATTTTTGTAGAAAAAGATAGTATTTTTTCTAAATTTTATTTACGCAATATAGAGTTATTCTATATAATACTTACATAAAGCAGTTCTGACTTTTCGTATTTGCGAGAGGGGAATGAGTGCATCTCTGTTAGGAATAGGAGAGAAATTTCCCATGAGAAAAAATCGTCGATTCGCGTAATTTCTATGAAGATAGCGAGAGGAGAGAAAAGAAACGAGAGGAAACGAAAGTAAACTGTCGCTGCGCGCATTAACGTTCTGAAAAATGATTAACCCTTAACTCCGTTAAAGGTTGGTTCATCTCTGCTCGTGCGCTCTTTCGAATTCTTACGCACGTCTACAAGCAATAACTCCCACTCACGGTTATAACTCCACTGAAAGACAGACGACGGTCGATAAAACTCAGCCATTTTACAGATAATTGCGAGCGACAGTCCATAGCATCCCCTTAATGAGAAACAGATACGCACCAAAACCCTTGCTATGGAGATAGATGTCTTTCGTAACTCTATATAGAGAATTTGATTCTTTGATTTCTTAAGATACACGTGATATCTCAAAAAAGAGAAAGAGAGAGAGAAGTAATCTCGCTTCAATTTTTATAGCTAATTTTTTTAAAATTAAACTTTTTTATCTTACAACTAATTGAAAAGTTGATAATGACTTTTATAGAAAAGATTATTTAATTAATCAAACTAATTAAATATTTTATTAATGTGCTCAAATTTTTTTAAAATTAAATATAGTTGGAAATTTTGTGTTATTTTTTAATTATTATTTATAATTTGTCAGCTGGAGGAAGATACAGTGCGTTTCAATTTGTTAGTCACAAATTACGTTAATTATAAAAAATGTAAGAAATAAAAAGTTATAACCTTTTGGAAAGAGATAAAAATAAAATTCTCTCTCTCTCTCTCTCTCTCTCTCTCATTTTAGAATTATTTCTTCCACTCAATCATCTTTATTACGCTTCTATTCCCAGTTGCACCTATTAAACCGTCAGAAATTTGTCTGTGTAAACACATCTACTAAAATACAAACTGTAAATTACAAGACGTCTCGCAAAATATTAATCCGAATGCAATTATATAGTAACGAAACACGAAAGTAATACCTAATTATTGACGACATTAATGGAACGTCATAATTTTTATTACAACTATTAATATCATTCTAAATAAATGAATAAAAACGCAAAATTATTGTCAAAAGTTAGGGTATCAAAGATTTATTTAATTGAATAACACAACTGTAAGATTTTTTGCGATAAAATTTTTATTCTTTCGAAAGCGCAAAGATATGTTTGATTATAAAGAATCTAGAAAGAGTTTACTTTTATGTCTTTATCAAGAAAAATAATCAAATAATTTTTTATCGATTAGTTTTAATTATGAAATTAACTTTAAATTATCTTTAAAATAAAGAAAATTTCAGGTTTTATTTAAAAAATTAAAAAATATAGACGTCTATTCCATTCGGTTTGTCTTCTTTCTAACTTCATGTAAATTTATTATTTACGTGAATCAATTTCGCATAAAGTACATGACAAAAGAATATATGTTTTATCACTTAATTAATTATAATTAGAAAGATAAAGAAAAACAATTTCATTTATTCTCTATTAAGTTTATTTTTAATTTTTATATTAGTAATTATCAGCAATAATTAATTTATTATTTCATTAATAAATTGATTGATAATAAGACAATTACTAATTTATTTATTTATTATTTACTTTATCATTAATTATATTTATAACCTGACGTGTAAAAATCGATGAAATGTCAGAAAGAAGAAAACCATGTTAGACCATGCGTTGCGAATATTTTGTTGAAGTTGTTTAAAAAGAACCGTAAATCTCAAAGGATTTAGAAAAGGTGAACAGTAATTCTATTCGATTTATCTTTCTACGAATGTAAAGCTAATGACTTTTTACAAGCCGTCTTCAGAGTTTACAATCTTTATAAAATAAAATCTGGCGTGCTTTATCTTACAAAGAAAAGTTTCAATAATCTTCCCTGAAAGATATTTGCTATCGTTAACAAAGACAAAGGAAGCTTAACATGTTACTTATTTTCTCATACTTCTGACTGCATACAAGAACCCATTAAGGGGGTATATTTCTTGAAAAGAGAAGAAATCTGTAATTATATAGATTTATGTATTTATGTTAAGGAGAACATTAGGTGTGCCCGTGTCCACTCAACTAGGACATTCTTGTGAGCGCGGACGGCCATGCGGCTTCTTCATCAATATTTATAGTGGTACCTTAGGTAATCAGTGATGATTTTATCTTGCCAGAAGATCTAATGAATAAGGCCTAATGTCAGATCTAATGTTCTCTCAAGTGGTCGACATTACGCCGCGCCGGAGAGTCCTAGCGCCTGCGTAATGTCAACCACGCGTGCAGACCGAAGTATATAGGAGCGTAGCTGCTCACCGCGAGCGTCACATTGCGTTCCCCGACGTACATCTATCAAAGGCTGAAGTTCGGAATACTTTGAGTGGTCGGTGCACCCCAACTTCGGGCCGCCGAAGGATCCTCTTCCTCGAAGACACCGGGCGAAGACACGTCGCGCTCGATATATCGAGGATCGAACGAGATCGAACCCTTCCGGAGACGATATACATTTTCGTCAAAGGGAACCGGACATCCGCATGTCGTAAGTCGAGGTAGACTTCTATCGGCGTGGTAAGAACGTAACATCCGACGACAGGATTCAGGATCACGCGCGATTAATATGGGCATCAGCTTCATTCCGTTCATCGTGGTAGCTATGGTACCGATTATCACCGGTAATTTTGGACAGCGTGTCATCGGGAAGAGGAACTCCGCGGACAGCAATATCGCTAATGTCGATTATCCCGATTACTCAACCAAATACGATGATTATCCGGTGAGTAATTAAGCATCATTAACCCCGTACTCGCGACATATTTCATTTCATTCCGTTTTGTATAAACTTTTCTCATACAAATTCAGCAAATTATTTCTGTACATACGTATGCATAAGAAAATCTATGCAGATGCATGAAGGTATGGCTGAGAAAATTCTTCTGTTATTGCTTTTATATTTTTTCGTTATTTGTGCTTTTTCAATTTATTATATGTGTATCGCATACTTTGTTCAGCATTGGTAAAAAAATTGAAATGTCAGTGGAAAGATAGTAAAAATAGAATTCATAACGAGATTGAGATACGATCGACCTTATACCTGAATAGAAATGAAGGGGCATCTAACTTCATGGCATGATATATAAAAGGTGGTTGCTTAAATATTTCTTGTTCGAGTTTCATGCGAACCTATTTTTCTTTTGTTCGAGTTTCTTTCAAAAAAACGAGGGGTACGAGAATAATTATATGAGAAATCTGTCAAATGTAATTGTCCGCCTAGGAGTTTTTCTTTTTCTCTGTTCACCGGCAACCGAAAATCTTCGTTTCGCCTTTGATCATTGTATTATAACACAGATTTGAGTCCGATACCCTACTCATTTATACGGTATCTGTTCTTTCGTTATTCGACCTCATCATTTTTCTTATTTTGATCTGTGAAATTCCAATTTTCGCATCGTGCTTTTTTTATTTCATTTCCTGCCTTGAAAGAAAACGAGAAAACTTTTTGAGTTTTCGCAAACATACGTCTTACATACGTTCTTCTTTAATTATCGTACATTAGCAGTTCCTTGCGACAGTTTGTGCAACCGCCGTTTAAAGGATTATATCGATTCTTTTAACGCATAGAATTATGTAATTAACAATTTATAAATTTATTATTGCCTTATGCAACAAAGATTATATCAGTCATCATTTCAGTCAACGTGTAGCTCAACTGCCGAGATTAATCCTACTAGGATAAACCAGAGACCAGGATAGATCAAAGACTTTACAAAGTTTATATCGTAATCCAGTAAAATATCCTGCATATTGTTGTTCATATATCTATGTTGCTATAATTTATGTCATTATATTTAATTGAGTTTGTATTATATTGCAATTATAATTTGATATTTCTATATATACAAAAAATCTCTACCTTTATTTAAACTATGTTTCGAAAATTTTAATGCCGAGAACTGAAACACGATATATAACACCGCAGATATACAATACACAAGTTATTATTTGTTACACGATTCTTTTTAGAATATTTTCATATATGCTCTATATATTTGATAAATTTTTTATATTATCGAATATCGGACGTTGTCACAAAAAGAAGAAAGAAAGTATCGTCGTCAAAATGACGAGAGAATATTATGAAATGAAATAGAATATTCAATTAAAAATTCTCCAGCCTCTAGTTGTATAATTTTATCACGATTCGATTCGTTGATTTCTTATTCCGTTAATATTGTTATTAAAAGTTTCTTATTTCTTTCTCACGAGTTTGTGTATGGGAGGAAGAAAGGGAGGGCGAGCACTGTTTGCCCCTCCCCCAATAAAATTATTAAAAAATTAAAGTGTTTAATTTTCTAAGTACAGGTCAATGTACATCTACAGGTCAAATTTATCTAATATTTTATTTTTTCATATCATCCGTTAAATTAATTGTCTTCGTTTCATATTTACTTTTCCTCGCGTCTCGATCTTTGTTTTCGCCTCTGTATATTTGTACGTGATTCGGCTATTATGCGGTTGAATATGTGTCAATATAATCGCCACAACATTATGTGCTGACATAAACTCGTGAGAAAGAAATAAGAAATTTTTAATAGCAATATTAACGTAATAAGAAATCAACGAATTGAATCGTGATAAAATTAGACAATAAACAGTTTGATTTCACATATATAAGGTCTCTCAATTATTTTATGATCCCACGCACCAACGAGAATTAAAATGTTATGCGATGTTTAGCAATGCAATAATAGATTTATTTAAGAATAAAATATACAGCGAATGATATATTAAATTTAATTTATTTTTTCTATGAGCAAAAAATACATTAATTTATTCTTTAAGAAATTTAACTTGACGTATATTTTAATTAAATTTTTTAAAGAATTATTATTTTTACAAAATTATTATACTTGATATATACTTATATATAAAATCGGACGTTAACTTTTTGACAGTATTTAAATTTTGCAATCTTTGCAATGCAATTTTTTTTTATTTTAATGTCCTTAGCAATATATATATATATTGGATTTTATTCATATTTTAATATTACCAAGATTTAGTTAAGCCCTGAAAAACCATCATCGCTTATCACAACTCGCAATTAGAGAGAAACAATAATATATTCAATGTGCAACAAACTTAATAATGTTTTCTTAACTATCTCGCGCACTCATCTTATTAAATTTCACGTTAATTAATCACGGATCTCACGCAAGATTGACTAAAATAATAAAATCTATAATCGTAGTTCGTTCTCGTGAATAATATACATTTCAAAGTTATGCTTACTACGAAAACAGTTTGCGAACCGATCAGAGAAACTCGAACGAGATGACTGCAACATTGTATCGTTTCAACTACGAACGCCTCGTCCCACTTACTTTCTGAAATTATTAACTTCGCAGACGACGTTTCCATTACTTGCTAATAATCGCGCTTCGTTAATTCAATCAGCTAGGACTTATGGTCTTCTGTTTAGACGGAGACACATTGTCGCGCAGCTTTGTCGACGGTTCATTTCCGTGATCGCCTTCTCGATTAACTCCCGTTTCGATTAGCGTCAACGAATTCTCCGGGGATATGCATTAATTCGTTCGTGGAATCGCACACCCCACGATGTCCCTATAATATTGTTATTGCAAATCGAAACATTAAATAAAACGTCCTCTTTACAACTTGAAATTGTAACAGCGACATTACAAAATTTGTCGGTGATGATAAAACGAAAATCATTGTACCTGAAAAAATCATCTATCTCAAATTTACTAAATAATAACTAAATCTTTACAAGGAACATAATGTTAGTAGTTTGATAATAAATGAAAGAGGAGAGAAAGAATTTGGTAATTAAATTTTGATTTCAAGTTATACATTCTATATAAATATTTAATTTTGCAGAATGAAATTTCAATCAATTCTATATCTAATTCATTTATCTTTTCGATACAAAGTGTCGATCCTAAAACACTTCCAAAATTATCATTATCATTAAGTTCTATTAGATCGATAATATTTTGCTCAGACTTTGTTAGAGATAGAATATTATAAACCACCTTTTTACTTTACTATTATCACTACATTTTAATTATTTATTTGGCATTGCATGCTATCACAATACATATATATCTATAATTTCCTTGTACATTTTTGTAATTAAGAATTTAAATTATTATACTAATTTATGCTAATATTTTTTCTAAATTTTCTTTAAAATATTTAGCATTGTTTAAAAATAAATAAAGTTAATTTTTTAATCGACATAGTAAAGTTTAATTTATTTATCATTAAATTTTACATGTTTATATAGATAAAAATACTTAATTAATATTATACAGTAAAACAGTATTTATTTCAAATTATTGTATTTTAATATAATATATATATGCAGTATCTTCTTATTACAATTTTTCTTCTCTTTCTCTCAGATTTTTATATTTATATCAATTATATATATATAAAATTTAAAAAAAAAACTAAAATCCAAGGTTGCAAAAATATAACTCACAGGAAAAATAGATATAATCCACAAATAGTTTTTACTCTCATTATATTTTCATGCCATAAAAGTATATATAGTTGTACATTTTTTCTTCTCTAAAATAAAGCTGAAGGATTAAAAAGTATTTTGATATACGTGAATATAACGAAACCGTTGGGATTAATTAATGCATTCAATGTAAGCGCAAAGATTGATATGAATCTTCTATTGCGCTGTTTCTCTTTTTATCAACTTTATTGCTAAAATTTTAACGCGCGCCCGTCCAACCTTCAAATCTAAATAACTCTAATTAGTATAAATTACATTTGTAGTTGCTACGTTCGGAGAGAAGCAAGTCCTCGACGAGTAACAAATAATTATTTCGCTTGCGTGACGAGTTAATTAAATCGCGCATGACTTATTGAAGCATATTTTGCTAATGTCACTGTCGCGTCGAAAATACGTGAAAATATGTGAAAATTCAAAAATTGCTAAATGACGTATTTTCGCAGCGGAAGGGATTTATTTCTCGCGCAACATTATAATAGAGTTATATATATGGTATATTTACATTATCGATAATGGACATGAAAACATCGCGAGCTCGCAGGAAAATGTATGTAACATTTTTACGCATAGTTATATATATATATATGAAAATGTGTATCGCGTAGGCGATTTTCCCGCCCTTTGTTTTCGGATTACTCTAACAATGTTTACGCCAACTGCGTGTATATTTTTGTGTGTTTTCTAAATGCTAGAGTCATTTAGGGAATTTCTTAAAAAAGAACGCAAACTGTCTCTTTCATGTATGCGATATAATATAATTGTATAGTTATTTCAAACAGACTAAGTGATATTACTCGTAACGAACATTAGACAGGCATGAGATTGTACCCTTGTTAGTTACAGGGAACTCGATAGTGTCAAGAGCCGCGAGCTCCATTGTTTCGCTATTTCTGCTCAAGTTCCACTGTATTGTTTCGCGAGTTGCATCAGGTATAACCCGCTTTGAGATCGCTCACTTATCAGTATCCGAAGAAGTGACAATATAGAGTCTGTATGAGAGAATGAGATGAGGGAAAGAGAACATACGATATTCTAAATATTGGAATGAGTATGCAACTGAAGATGCTTATATGTCAGGCGTTGAAGTCTCTCACACTATGTTGCGCACGTCTGAAAAATAAATATGCATTTTTGCATTCTCTTGATTTCGCAACGGCTAGCCGTATATTCCGATATTGATCTGGCAGAACTTTACTCGGAAGTCCGACAACGATAGCTGCCGGATA